GCTTGCGCTCGTGTGCCAGCACCCAGAAGGTAACGTGGGACACCCCCCCCCCGCCCCCCCTACACATGCGCGTGCAATCCCACCACCCTGCCCCCTTACCCGCACTGCGCCTCACAGCTGATTTTCAGCCGGTTTGAGGCCTTTTTTGGCCTCCCAAAGGCTTGAGGAAAGCTTCGACAAGCTTTGCCCGCCAAAATCTAGCCCTGTTTCATCACTTCCTGTTTTCCGGAAAATTCCAGAAGTGACGAAACGGGGCTAGATTTCGGCCTACAAAGCTCGTAGAAGCCTTGCAGGAGCCCCTCCTCAAGCCTTGGGCCTCACACTGGCCAAAAATCCGCTGTGAGGCGCGCACATGCGCAGTGAGGTAAGTTTGCCTGCAGCTCGCGTGCCGGCACAAATGGCTCTGCGTGCCGCCTGTGGCACGCGTGTCATAGGTTCACCATCACGGGACTCGGATATCAGTGCTGGGACTGAGGATGGACCGATGATGTTATCTAGTTCGGATAATGAAACACCTGCAAGAAAGCAACCCAGCTCAGAGAGCCCTAAGGACCCCCCCCCCCAAGGCTCTGCATTTTTTCAACTTTTTTTTTTTTAAAAAAACCAAACCCTGCAAATTCACCAGAGCTATCCCAGCCTGACAAATCCGGAAGTTACCTCTTTGCCCAGAAAGACGGAAGACCACCACAAATCTATCTATCTATCTACCTCTTGGATTCTTACCCTGCAATACGGCATCTTCATTCTCTAAGATCTGCTTGAAGAACTCTCTCTGTTCTGCGTCTGAGGGAGTCTCCTTCTTAATTTTGGGGAAATCGTTAGAAGCATCCACAATCAGGCCCTGCAAAAGCAGTACCAGATATCCATACAGGGTGGGAACAGGAGAGAAAAAAAAAAAAAAAAAAAGAAGACCTTTCTCTTTTAAGGATCTCCCTCCAACGCCTGTCGCAGCTGGCAGCAGTTTGGAGGGAAACCGTGTAATTCTCATCCCCTTGGAACTGGGAAGAAGAAAAGTTTTTTTAAGTTACTGAGGGGGGGAAAGGAGGGGTGTATAGCCTGTATTCCCCCCCCCCCCGCCAGCTTAGCTCTTTGGAGGCAGCATCTGGAGGTTCTGATCAGATCCTGGTGGAAGGCAGTGATCCGGAACTGCTCCATCTGCAGCACAAACTTCTCACAATCTCCTCCACAAGGAATGCTGACCAAGATCCTCCGTGAGCCGCGCGCGCCTTGAGACGGTAACGCAAAAGCCTTTCCCGAGCTGGAACGCGACTCTCAACTCACTTCACGGTCCTTTGAGACGTCCCACCAAAGGCTGCCCTCACCTGCATTTTCGGCTTCCTGTCATCCGCTTGGCTCAAGAGGAAGCCTTCCGCCAGGGCCACCGCCTGTGAACAGGTCTCGGCGCCGCATTCTCTGATCCAGCTCTTCATGTCGGGAGGCAGGATAGTCAAGAACTGCTCTAGGATCACCAGGTCCAGGATCTCAGCTTTGGTGTGCTGTCCTGGCTTCAGCCACTGGCAACACAGGTCGTGGAGCTGGCTGTAAACCCCGCGGGGCCCGGCGCATTTCCGATAGCGGAACTGGCGGAAGTGTTGGCGCTGGACGTAGGAGTTCCCTTTCTCTTCCCTCTGGATTTTGTTGGGATGTTTTTCCCAGTGCTCCCCAGGGCTGCGAGCCTCGGGGATCTCGAGGCCCCCCGCTGAATCCACCACTTCCTCCTTCGACCCTTGGGATCCTGGGGTCAGCACTGTCTCCAATAAGATTCGAAACATCTCCCGTCTCAATGGCTTTCTTCCCACAATGTCTGAATGGCTAGAATCGAACTGAAAGTACGTTGGTGTGTGTGTGTGTGTGTCTCTCTCTCTCTGTTTTTGGTGGGGAGGGGGGAGTGACGGCCCCACTCAGGAAGTCAAGGATTAAATTACAAGGCAGTCACAAACTTGAAGTTAGTAGCTCTCTGTAAAGAATGGAGAACGAGACAGATCAGAGGCAGACGATACAACAGGAAATAAACAAGGAGTTCTCCCGTACAAAAGCACTTTCGGGGCACATGTACTTTGCTTGGCTGATAGTCACATTTGACAGAACGAATAAACGGTAATTACAGGTCCCAGAAACCCCAAATAAAAACAATAAAATAACCTGCAGGAAAAATGAGAGACACACACACAATGCCACGTTCTTCACGATAGAAGCAGTAATCGGTTCCCCAACTGTCTATGGAGATTCTCAGTCATCCAGGTCGTGGCTGTCCCAAAGACAACCGGACTAATATAATCCTAGGTTGTCTAAACAGAGGCACAGAATCAAAACCACAGCGGAGTATTAGTACCGCTGTCGGCGTTCCAACTAACAAAACTCCAAACCAATCAACTCCGAGAGGAGCATTTCCTCAAAGCTCCATTTTATTAGAGTTGTCATACTGGCCCCATCTGGGAAAACTCCAATCTGAGCGTTCCGGGTTTTCCCTTCCCAAAAGAAAATTCAAAAAATCCATCCCCTGCACCCACCAGTCCATCACATGGCCCAATCAGATCCTCATCCCAACTGGAGACCACCTTCCAGATACTCCTCTCCCGACTCACTGAGAAAGAATGTCGTTGAGGCTAATCTTCCCCCTCTCTATGAAATCCCCCCTCCCAAATTCCCAGGCACTAAATGTGGCAGCCTTGAAGTTTCCAAGTAAAATATGGCTTTCCGAGGCTGACAACTTTATAAAACCTTAGATAGAATAGATAGAAATAGAAACTAAATAGAAAATAGAAATAGAATAGAATAGCTTTATCGGCCAAGTGTGATTGGGCCACAAAAGGAATTTATCTTGGTGCAAATACTCTCGGTATACACAAAAGATACATTCGTCAAGAGTTGAGAATCATAAGGTACAACACTTAATGATAGACGTAGGGTACAATAAGCAATCCAATCATACTAAAAAGAGATAAGGCCACACCTTGGAATATTGCATCCACTTTTGGTCACATTAGTCAATATCATTAGACCAATTTTTGGTCAATATCAAAAGATATTGAGATTTTGGGGAAAGGGCCAAGAAGAGCAACTAAGACAATTAAAGGCCTGGAGACAAAAATGTATCAAGCATGGTTGCAGGATTTGGGTTTGGCTAGTCTAGAGAAGAGAAGCACTAGGGGATGACATGATAGCAGTATTCCAGTACTTGAGAGGCTGTCCTAAAGAGGAGGGAGTCCATAGTGAGGACAATTAACTAA